CTATGTTATAACACAGAAACATTATTGAAAGAACACTGCATGTTTTTCATATATCTCATATATAAAATATGAGAAAGAGAAACAAATGCCTGGCATATAGTAAGTGCTCAAAATGTATTAATAAGTTTCCTTTTTTTCTATACCTGGTAGGTAGACACAATAGGTAGGAGAAGAGGTTAGAATTGTCAACACATCTTTCGCTAAGGCTTCTAGCTGCCTGTTGGGACCTAATAACAAGAAAATACTATTCTTATTTTAATAAGATCAGAGCCTCTAACAAGACTCACAAATCTTATAATAAACCCGCTAATTATATACAACTAATATGCATTTCAAACAAAAGTTTGTGAGAATGTGTTAGCGTTCTTTTAACAGCTCAGTGAAATATAATTTTGGAACACTAATTACAACCCAAATTCTCTTGTTTTCCACATATACCACACAAGGAGATCGGGGATTAGAGAGGTATTAACAAACACAATCACACAGTGAAGCTTCTCTTTCCTTCCTGTGCTATCCTCATGTTATTAGACAAGATGTATAACAACAGCTGTTCCTATAACTCTGGCATAAACCCACTAACCCCCACTCACACCCTATCTCCCAAAGTCGTTGCACTTCCACGAGGTCATACAACTTACTCCAAAAGTTTGAGAATGTTCAAAGCCTGAGAGCTTACAAAGCACATCAGCACGACTCAGCTAAATCTATCACAGATGCTCCTTGACTTAACGATGAGGTTATGTCCTAATAAACCCACCGTAAATTGAAAATATACCTTACATATATATATAAAATAAATATTTAAATAACATTTTTATCAACAGAGGTTATTTCTAGCATAAGGATTCAAAATGAACCCTGATTTTTTTTATTCATTCAGCATAGCTTTTTTTCAAGATTCAAGTAAAATCTCCATGCTCAAGAAACCTCTGAGATGATATACTCCTCACCACACAAAAGGGTAAGAATGTGAGGTGATGAATATGTTAATTAGCTTGATTTGATTATTCCATAGTATATTCATAAATCATAACATTACTCAGTCCCTTGTAAATATATACAACTATAAATTTGTCAATTTACAATTTAAAATAAATAAGTCAATTAAAAAACGATTCTCTCTAACCTGAAGATAACCAATCTTTTCCATGCCCTAGGTCAAAATGGGAACAAGGCAGTGCAGGTCATTGGGCATCCAATTTCAATACAAAATAAAAAAACATTTTCTAACAATTAGAATTATTCATCAGTGAACACCTGCATTTCTAAGCATGACATCAAAAGCAGAAAGCATAAAAGAGAAAGATTGATTTGATTGTATGAAAAGAAACCAAAAGAAATGAAAACTAAAATAAAATTTATAAAATGGGAAAATATTTGCTAAATATACAACAAAAACAAAAAGTTATTATCTTTCGTGTTCATTCATTCAATAATTATTTACTGAGAACCTACTAAATATGAGGCTCTGTTTCTAGGTGCATGGATATTGGGCGAACAAGACAAGAGTTCCAACTATCAATCACCAAATCAATCAGACCTATCTTAATACTTCAAAAGAAAAACAAATAGAAGACATAAGTAAGAACAGAAATGCAAATGGTCAATAAAGAGATAAAAAAATTGGTAATCAAAAGTACACATTAAAATAAGGGTTTTTTTGCCTACCAGTTTGGCAGAACTTTCAAATTTTATGGTGTTGACAAGGGTGCAGAATATGGACCTGCTCATGTACTTCCCTGGGAGTGGGTTTCAACCAGCCTTCTTAATGAGAAAGCCCGAACTGCTCCCAACTTTAGCCTGAAAACATACACAATGCTGACATGCACATTTCTAAACCCCAATGCAGAGATTCTGAATCCATCAACCAGAAATGGGATCTAAGAAACTGCATCTACTAACTACCACGGGGTAATCTAATTCAGGTTACCCTAGCACCTAGGACCATTCCTAGGCACAGAGAGCCCTAGTGGCCTAGACCATGGGTGGGACCATGCCATCAAGTTAGGAGGCAAATGGTCCTATCAGTGGGACTGTGCATATGCTGACAATCAAATGCAGAATGTTTTGTCCAATTAGATTTGACTAATTGATAGAAATATTTCAACTATAAGGCAAAAAAGTATCAAGTCGTACTCACTACTGGTAGACTTTGATACTGGACACACACAGTTCAGCTTTCACACTATTTATTCTCTTTGGCCCAGAAATAAAACTAAAAAAAAAAAAAAAATTTGCCCTATGGGCATAATCAGGTTTTATTCAAAACACTGTTAAGATTGTAGAAATTATTTAGGAGTTCTAAATAAAAAAGATGAAAATGCAGCTACTCTTAACTTTTCCTTAAAACGCTGGCTATGGGTAAAGAACATGAAAGAAGAGAGCACTCGACTTTGTGTCCCACATATTTAGACTTTGTTTTGCAAATGTTTTCTGGTTGCTATGGCGACTTCTGGGTTTCTCCGTGTAAATGGGAAGTTGGAAACTTCATATTTTTTTTTAAAAATGATTAGTTTGTTCTTTTATCCTGGTGAGCTTGCTCTGTGCTGACAGATTACATTGTGACAGCTAGGTTGTAATCCAAAACATGCTTTGCTAGAGACTGTGAATAATAAAGAATTTCCAGGGCTTGACAGTTACTCTTCATTCATGTTTTTATGTGTTTGCTTTCAGTGAACTCAAAAGATAAACTAAGGGGCTAAATACTTGGTATACTTTCAAAAATAATTCAGAGACACATCCCTACTTGAAAGATTTGACAGGTGTCAATTTGATGATTGTACTCATGGAATGTGACAAGAGGAAAGAACACAAACTTCCAAATCAGTAAGGTGTGGCGCTGAGTTCCAGCTCCACCACTCCTTGTGTGTGAGGCCTTGGGCAGGGAGCCCAACTCTCCGAGCTTCAGTTTCTACCTATACAATAAGAATCAAAAGTAATATGTACAACTTAATATCTACAACAATGAGAATTCTATTAAGCAGGCTCTCGATATAACACAGTAACTATTACTACCAAAGAAAAAAATAAAAGCAAGCACAGAAACATCCCAGACCTATTAGATTTGGTTTTGAAAACACAGGCTTCCCACAAGAAAAAGAGACTAAATTAAACCAAAACGCACAACCAGAATTATTAGGATGGGACTTCTTCAGGTTTCAGCTATTTATAATACTACTATCAGACCCTCATCAGGAAGTATCAGGAAAAGACAGTTGGAATTTTGTGACGTGGTAAAACATGGCTGGCAAACTTGGCAAAAGAAGTTTCTGGAAACTTAATGAAACAACAGACTGAGACTATGCAGTCAGCTCAAGCTAATGTATAACTTTGAAACATCAGATGGCCAAGCTTTTAAGCTACTGGAGGTCACGGTGAAACAGGTCAGGAGCTTTCCATAACCCATTCGAGATGAGGGAAAGTAACTGGCAAGGAAGAGGCCTGTGTTTCTCTAGGGATGAGTCACCTCTGATGGAAGGTTAGTTAGCACTGAGGTGGGGGCAGGTTCCTCCATCTGTTTTCCAACAGCATTTGTGAATCTATCTTTTCTCTTTTTGTATCCGTTGGTGGGCAGGACCCATCCATATTCTGTATCTCTTGGTTTTCTGTTTATTAAACTGTGTACAGAGGAACAGGATTTAGTGGAGTATGTTAAGTCCTTTGTTATTGCATGTCCTAATTCTTAATTGGCCTTCATTCCTTAATCCTCAGTTATTATACAAGAAAGAGCATCACAGATGATCCCGTGGGCAAAATATTGAAGCACTGAGCACAAATGCAAAATATTTTAAAGCATAACAAGATATTCTAAAATTTGAAACTATGTAAACTTTCTTCAAAATAACCATAAATCCATATATGTGGCACATAAACTCAACCTACATGTTAGTCGGTCTATTGAAAAGTATTGAAGCAGAACTGGTAAGCAATAGCAATAACAAAAACTAAGGCCTCTAAACAATAGCAGATGTCAACACTGTGCTTTCACTATCTGACTTTGGTTTTAATTACATCTAAGGCAGTACATTCCAGAGGGCAGACGTGAGGCTGAAAAAAGGTCACTTGATGGAGATTTTTCTCAGCTTACTGTCCACACCTTGTTATCGGAGACAAGGTGAAACACAGAACTCTAGGAATGTGATTTAAAAAAGAAAGTGCCAGTAATAAACAGTATGCTGTTCACTTGGGGAACTAAGTGTTCCCACACTACAACTACCACCATCACCACTACCACCCCCTTCCTTTCACCCCAGTGTCGCTGAATGAGTACTTCATGACCCTTCACCTCCGATCAGAAACCAGTTAAGGTTTGGGCCCCTGACCAAGCTGGGTCAATCCTGGCTCCTACATAATGTTCCCAGATAAAATATAGGAACTCAGTTAAACTGGAATGTTAGATTAACAATGAATAATTTTTAGTATAAGTTTGTCTCAAATATGGCACTGAGACATACTTATGCTACACACTATGGTGGTGTTCTCAGATCTGCCAATAATAGCTGCAAATGCATAGAGTACTTTCTGTGTTCAATGCATTGTTCCAAATGCCTTATACATATTAAGTCACTAACCAATAAAACTATGTGGGAATGCAAATATATGCCAATATATGGATGATTTGAGGTTAGGAAGACTGAACTGTGTATTTTTAAATTTCAGGAATTATGCAAAACTTCTCATAACTAAGACACTTAGTGAGCTGTCATTGACTAGCTACAAATCGATTTACATAAAATTGAAAAATATAAAAATAAAAACTAAAAGGCAGATGATATAGTAAAGTAGAAAAAGCAATGGGTTGAGAATCCGGAGGTCTAGATTTCAGTCCCTGCTCAGTGACTGTTAATAGCTGGGTGACCTTGGGAAAGCATCCTCACTTCTCTATATCTAGGGTTCCTAACATGAGATTTGGAAAAGATTGGATTTATGGTCATTGCTGCCCCTTCAATTATATCTTATAATATCGGAAAATCAGCTTGCAGAGAAAAGATCATTACCTCTGCAATCATTCTGTTGGTGTCTCCTAAAAATAGCAAATTTAGAGCTTCTTCCTCCGTGGTTGCCTGATGAAGAGACAGGTTTTTTAGGTGAATGTTCTGTTCAGGGTCCTCCAATATTGTCACTCTCCTAGGGAAATGAAAAACAAGAAAACAACACATTGTTGAAAATGAAAGGAACTTGAAGTCTTCCCTACAGGCTTATTTTTAAAAAGCTATATAGTATGACGTCTTGAACTTATAAAACTGAATAACACACAAGACACCAGACAGCACTGGATTAGCATCAAACACTGACATTCCCTTGACAGTCCTATCAGATAGCTTTGGGGCTGAAAAATTTATTATAAGCTCCTGATTTAAAGCCACCTGTCACTGTAATCATCAGATCACTAAATTATCTTAAAATGCATATTCTTCCTGAATCAAAAATGCAAACAGATAATAATTTTCTATCTATATATCACAAAACTAAGCCATATTGGTTTTTTTCTGTGCCATAATTCAGTTTCTTACATAAGTAATGTGCTAATCCTTTTGTTAAATTTTATATCATTTTCAATCTACATGACATTTCAAACTGGTTAGCTCATCAACTTAAACATGAGGAAAATCGAGGCATCTGGCATCCCTCTAGGAGTTATTCCCATGTCTACTTTTCTCTTCAAGGTAAGTAAAAAATTCTCAAGAAGTCTTACAATAAAGATTTAGTCTGTCCTTATTATTTTAATGTCTGTCAAATCTGTTTCTTGATCCTTTTTCCTTTACAACAAACCTTTTCCTTCCATTACATCCTTTTAGTCAGACTGAGACCTGGAATTACACTCATCTATTACAACCACCTTAATGAGCATCCTGGTGCCAACATTATTTCCTCCCAGGTGAGTCCTAACCCTGTTTCCAGAGTTGGCTTGTCAATATTCTCCTTAAAGTCCTTGCAGGACTTTCTGCAACCGAACAAAACTTGGCCAGACTCCTCATATTCTGCTTCAAAGGCCTACAGATTTGAGCCATAAAGTTACTAAAGAGGATTCCCTTTTGCCTATGGAGTTTTGCCTTCTTGATTTTCTTAAGAACTGTTAAGGAAAGAAAATCTTGCCATTCACAAGTATTGCCAAGGAGTATTTCCAGGTAGCTTCACTTGCTTAAAACATTTAGGATTGATGCTGTTAAGTAAAAGTTGACATCATCCAGCACTTTTTTTTCTTTAAAATGATACTAGCAAATAGACATGCATCATTTTTTATTCATAAAAACTTATTTAGAATACATTAAAAATGAAGATTTTGCAAATACCATAATATTTTCATCCTCTCTTATAAGGAAGTTATATGGACTTTCATATGTAATTTGTGGGCACTTAAAATACTAATCGCAGGAAGAAAATGTAGCCCTACCAGCACATCTGTGACCAATATGTCACTAATAACGTACTCCTTTGCCAAGTTTTAGACTCCTTTTCATCTCCTTCAACAATACCAGCAAAGATGGAAAAAGATCTCTTCTCTTAATGAAAACAAATGTAATTTATTTAGTTTTCAATAAGACTCTTAAGTGAGCTTACTAAAAATGCTTAAGAGTTCAAAAATACTTGGAAAAGATGAAGGCATTTTTAATTGAAATGAATGAGTTGTATTCTATTTTTAGGAACCTCCTTTATTTCTTAAACTTTATTTCCCTGCTGATTTTTCTGAAGCACTCAAGAAAGTTTAACTAAATGAAGCCCCTAAGGACACAGAAGTCACAATTCTTCCTAAATCCACGGACTCTAGGGCTTACAGGTGAAAGAAGTAATACTAGAAGATAAAGTAATGAAATAAATGACATGGTATATTAAAGGTGAGAACAGAAGACAGTTCTGCCTTTCTCAGCATGAAGTCGAAAACCAATTCTCCAACTCTGAGGCAAAGTCACCTACAATACATGTTGCAAGCCCAAGACTGCTAGGATACTTTTCCTGTGCAAGTTCAGAAATGGCAGTGGTGAAGTAGCAGGAAAGGATTCAAAGCAGCATGCACACACTCAGTGGGCACCAAATGTATGCCAGGCACCTATATTATTTCATTTAATCTGGTTGCTCTCAAAAGGAACTACCTCTGGACACACACACACACACACACACACACACACAAAACACTGGTGCCAGGTCCCCTTCTAAGGATTGGCCCAGGCAGGGTCTAGGTGGGATTAGAATTTGTAAAAGCAGCAGGTGATTCCAGTTTGCAGCCAGGGCTAAAAGCCACTGACTTCATCTTTAATAACCCTTCAACATAAACAAATGGAGAGGAGGTTTCAGGTTTTCTTATCTTTACTTTCCACCCAGTTCCAATCCATGCCCAAAGGGGAAAGTTACTCATCTTATTGGTTGTATCTGAAGACACTCATGAGTCACATCTACTAATAGGCAAGGTCCCTGTGAATTAAAAACAAAAACAAAACTGTCCTTCCATAGGAATTTTCTTTTCTACCTCCCTGTACATGCAGCTGATAGGTAAACTAAGCTGTGCAACATTGACTACAACAATAACTAATATTCAATTGGGGATTATGGATCTACCTAAACATCCATAGGGCTTATATCACTGCTGAATCAAAAAATGTAAGTGATAGTAAGGACACATTACACATATATCTCTCACCATTACTTCATTGAAATAGGGAATGCAGAAAACAAACAAGTATGGACTTCTAAGCATGCTCATTTATTAGATAATCTATATGGGTCACTGATTTAGAATTATATTTACATGGAATAATTACAAGGATAAGGTAGAAAGCATTTGTTAAATGTCATCAATGGTGTTTGGCTGTGCTACTGTTTTTTTCTAAATCAGTCAGAGCCTTTGATCTCCAATGTGGCTACTTCAGAACTATTATACTTCTAAATTTACTTCCAGGTGCTTGTCCAGCTTTGTCACTTTGATCAAAATACAATTTGCACATGCCTTCAGTTTTTCTTTGTAGAACTTTCAGTTGTCTTTCATAACCCATACCTAAGCATTTCTCTGACTCATTTCTGGTGTCATGTGCTCTATTTGCTGATGTTTTTGTCCATGGAGGTTTTCAAAATATAAAAAAGGCAGGTTGGTGTCCAAATGACTTTGGCTTCTTTCATGGCTCTCTTCCTGCTTAGGGCTCATTTGTGGGCACCCTATAAAAGGCTCTACCTTTGGCATCCTTCTTGGAATCTTTGAGGTGTAATCTTCTCTCACCAATTAGGGTCTCTCTTGCCAGTTCTGCTGAGATTCTTTTCGGTTTCTGCGCCATCCCTTGGGCATGAGGCTTTTGACTTTCCACTACTGTTCTACCTTCCCTCACTGAAAGTCCTGTTTGCACTAAGTCTTGCAGCCATTGTGTCAGTAGATGGTGCATAAAAGCCCAACCTGAGCCATGCCATGGTTACTACCTCTTACTAGGAGAGCTAATTGAGGAGTGACAATGTTTTAAATTCTACTCCCAGTGAAATGGTTTTCCAAAGTTGAGGGAAATGAGGACCATTAGCAAATGCTTCTTATCAAGTTGGTTCCTTCCCTGGTTCGTTCTCTCTCTCTCTCTCTCCCTCCCCCCCACCTCCCCCCACACACATATACACATACACACACACCCCAATAGCTATTTCCTGAATCCTTAGTCCACCACTTGGTTCTGACTATAATTTTCATGGGTTTGAAAGAGGGCTTTATTAGAGTTTCTTAAATAAACATTCTAATTCCAAGATGGAAACCCCCCAAACTATTTATTTGATTCTTTTTGAACAGGCCTGTGAATAGTTTTCCCTACAAAATGTTTCTAAAATGTTTAGATTTCAAACAAAAATTCACTGATAGCCTTAACTTGGATACCTAAGTGGAAAAGTTCTGCTAAGTATACTGGGCCTGCTTAATGATGGGGAAGAAGCAAGTTTTGTGTTTTCTCTGTAAACAGAGAATCTTTTCCATTTGGCTAAGTAGTTGGAATTTGTAGGCTCTTTTTAACTGACTGGAAGACATACAAAGAGCAATAGCCAAACTCTTATTCTCAATAATAGAAGCCATCAATGAAAGAACCCTCTCTACCCCATACCCTACCAACTTGCTGAACAGGAACTTTCCAGAAGTTACTGCAATGAATATGGCTGCTCATTTTCATTGTATAGATACATGTTCCACAGTGATTTCTACTTTTCGTCTACTTGCAAATGTCCTATATGATTGTGCAGGACGTGCAGTACACAATGGCACCGTGTCCAAGGGGGTGCCATTCACATCACGGGTTTGTATATTTATTATGACAAGTGTCTGCTAGAAGGCAGCAAAATGTCTTCTAACAAAATCGGCATATTGCTACAACTTTCCAACGGATTGTTGGCCTGCCTTTTAATAAGTCACATAAAGGTTATTACAGGTCATACAGACTAGCCATCACCCTGTCTATAAACCTTGACCTTGAGCCATATCATGGTAGGTGGGCCTCATGAAAATGGGAGGGGGTGTACCAAGCTCTTCTAAATAACTGGGTATGTTTCACATCTTGTAAATATAGTTCAAACATCATTCATTTCAATAAAAACAGTATTCTCTAGTTCATCAGTTTTCAATCTCCTTTTTTTTTTTTTTTACCACCCTAACACATTTTCTCAGAAGCTCTCTATGGTGAAGATTTAGGGAGAAGGAAAAATGTGAATTTTCAGAACTATGTAAGGAGACCTCTCCTTCCTGCATTTTAAAGGTAGATTAGGTGGATTTTCTTTAGATTGATTACAATCTTCTAAAATAATTCCTCTGTTAAAAAGTACAAACAGCTGAAATATGTTACTTGAGAAAATTTTATGAACCTGCAATACATTTTTGTTTTGGTGTCAACCTAGACAAAGCAGGCTAAAAGCAATGGAAATCTTCTCTATTTAACCATGTTGAGATATTCTGAAAGCTCTTACTAATAGCTTGAAAAATGTATCTTTTCTTTCTCATTTTATTTAACATATCTTTTTACTGACAATGTCTATTTGGTTAAGCCATTGTAAGTTGGGGCTGCTATTACCTGCTGTTGTTAATTCACTAACAAAAATGTCCAAAACTATTGACTGAAAAACCCTTCCTACTACCCACATTAAACAATTACATGGCATAGGATCTGATTCTGGCTTTATCT